GGAAGGGACACCATTTCATGTTGGAGAATCATCTGATACGCCACTTGAAAGTGAGCTCCTTGCTCTAGTCTGGGCGCTGGCGTGGCTTTTGGATGCAGCGCCGGCCTACACCTGGGCGGCCGAGCTGCGGTACGACTGCACGAGTGCGGGAGGAGGGGTTTTCGCCTGCTCCAAGCACCCTCGTGTGGCTCCTCAGACCTCTGCATGGTCCGACCTTACCCCAGTTTGCTGCCTCACTTCGCCATGCAGTCTCCTCCCGCATGCACCTGACCCACAGCCATGTCAAAGGCCACACAGGCGAGTTAGGCAACGAGTTATGTGATTGGCTGTCTCGCCGTAGCAGACGACAGCAAGTATCCCCTTACGACCGTTGCCTTCCACAGTGGCCACATCATTGGTGGCGTCACGACCTCCATGAGTGGGGTTGGCATGCACACAGTGCAAGTACCACCCTCCCCCCGCTGCTTTCTTTCGAGCAGGAAGCACGCTTACTGCAGCAAAAGGCACATGAGGACATTCGTCCCCCGGCGCTAGGACTTCAACAAGTCGAAAAACCGGGAGGGCGCATTACCTTCGATCTTTTGGTTGCCAGTTTTAATGTCCTTACCCTTTACGATCCACATGCCCCGAAGGGAAGGAAGGCTAGGCTCCCGCACACCGGTTTGCACATTGCTGGCAAACGAGACCTCCTGAAGCGTCAAATGGTGGCGAAACAGTGTTGGATTCTCGGTCTACAGGAAACTAGGCTTCATGTTTCCGGAATTCTCCCGGACAGAGACCTTTTGATGATCAGCTCCGCGGCCACCACGCAGGGCACCGGGGGATGTGCTCTTTGGGTCGACCTACGTCAGCCTTTTGGTCAAGCCGAAGGTAAGCCGCTCCGTGTCACCAGAGATCAAGTCACCGTCTCGGCCTGCGGACCGCGCTTCCTCCATGTTTTGATTGAGACCCCTGATTTGTGCCTGCTCATCTGTGTGCTCCATGCGCCCAGAGCCATTCGCACCGACGATCAGGAACCACGTGCATTCTGGGAGCAGCAGGCGCAGCTCTTACGCCGTCGCCCGCACAAAGCAGAGTTCCTTCTTCTATCCGATGCCAATGCCCACGTCGGGGAGATTGTGACAGATGCCGTGGGCCCGGCAGGGGCGGAATCAGAAAACACGGAAGGCAGTCTCTTCCATGAATTTCTGCTGGATGTGGAAGGTTTTTTGCCTTCAACAGACCCTGCTATTCACGAGGGTCAGCATTGGACATGGTGTGGACCCGGAGACGATGGGGCGCGCCACCGTTTGGATTACGTGTGTGTGTCCCGTCGAGCTGGAAACATTTCCACTTGGGCAGTTGGGTATGGACGGACTTAGAGTCCCTGCAGGCTAGGCAGGATCACATGGCCGTCTGCCTTAGAGCGAAGTTCTCCAGTCAGTCCCCGCCGGTTTCTTACACCAAATGTGTCAAGCAGCTCTGCCGCCCTAGTCGATCTCCCACTCCGTGTGACCGACAGGTCTTTGCAGCTCAACTTGGTGTCCTGACGGCCATCCCGTGGTCTCTCCCGGTTGATCAGCATTACCTCCGATGGGTGGGCTGCATCCGTCATGCAGCGGACCCTTTTTGTGAAGCGCAACGCGCCCCTTCTACACAGGCCTACCTCACTGAGGACACCCTAGGCCTTGTGGAATGGCGTCGAGCATTGCGGTGCTATGTTCGAGTGGAAATGCGGGAGCGTGACCGGCGATTGCTGATCATTACCTTTGCCAGCTTTCGATTGCTCTGGACCGGAGGCGAGTTCACGCCCTCTGCACACTCCACAGCTGTTTCCTGGTTAAGCCAGATTGATGTCAGCCTCGCCAGAGCTCTTCAGCTCTTGGACGAGTCCACCACAGCCATTCGGGCAGCAGTTCGACGTGATCGGCACACATACTTGGAACAGCTACAACGTGATGTTACTCTGCAAGACCTGCGACACCCGCGAGCCCTTTATGCGGCGATTCGCCGTGCCTTCCCGGATGCTAGATCGGGGCGGCGCAAGGCCTTTCAGCCGCTGCCCACGGTCCTTGTAGAAGAAGGCAGGCTCGCTTCTACCCGACAGGAGAAGGCGGATGCCTGGATATCCCACTTCAGTGCTCAAGAGGGTGGTGTCATTGTTTCTGCCGCAGAGTACTGTGATGCGTTCAGGAACCCAGACATTCCCATACCACGGGACTGCCCGTTTGATTTGCGAGCGGTTCCCTCGCTCAACGAACTTGAGCAGCAATTGTTGGGCCTGAAAACCGGCAAGGCGGCAGGACCGGATGGTGTCACCGCTGAAGCACTGCGGGTGGATGTTCCGGGTGCTGCGCTTTCGCTATTGCCTTTGAGCTTGAAATCCTCAATGGGCTTGCGTGAACCTTGTGAATGGCGCGGAGGATGCCTCATGGCGTTGGCAAAGAAGGCGGGCGCAGCCCTGCAATGCGCATCGTTCCGCTCTGTCCTGCTTGAGAGCATCCCTGCCAAAGCCCATCACAGAATCCTCCGCAACAAGCTGATTGGTCCTTTTGCAGCCTTCAAACCTGACACTCAGGGTGGACAGCTGTCTGGTGTAGGGGTGGACAACATCAGTCTGACGGTCCGAGCCTATCAGCATTGGGCTCACAGTCACAAACGACCGTCGGCCCTGGCATTTTTCGATTTGCGCACTGCCTTCTACCGTGTCATCCGTCAGACGCTAGTGCCGTGTGGTGCTGGCGAACCTGCCCCTTCAGATGCCAAGTTTCTGGAGCTGTTGCATGACCTAGGAGTGCCGAAACATGCCATGTGTGAGTTGGCCAACCACCTCCGGACCATGGCTACACTGGTGGACGCCCGAGTGTCCCCACATTTGATTGCACAGACCTGTGACCTCTTTCGAGGGTCATGGTTCAGGCTCCAGGCCGAATCTTGCCTGGTGCTTACCCGGCGTGGATCGCGCCCTGGCGATCCACTTGCAGACTTGCTATTCGCATATTCGTTCGCTGCTTATTGCAAAGCTGCCGAGTGTGCTCTCCAAAGTGCAGGGGAACACACTGTCATGCCGACGGTTTCCGATCAAGCACCATGGCACTCTTGGCGCATTCCGGATACTGCGGGGCTGCCTGCTTGGGCGGACGATTATGTCTTTGCGCAGTCAGGCACACATCCACCAGCTCTCTGCAACTCCGTTTCGCGGGCACTCGGCATTCTTGCCACTCATGCGACTTCTGCCGGGATGGTTCTAGCCTTTGGGGTTGATAAGACCGCCATCCTCCTCTCGTCAGATTGCCCGCGACAACTTGATGGTGTCATCTTTTGGAATCAGGAAGGTGCCCCCGGCCTTCGGGTCTCCAATGCTCTGACAGATACGGTACAATGGGTCCCTATCGTCTCGGCATATCGACACTTGGGCACCATAGCTGTTGCAAACACTACCCCTGAGGCGGAGGTGCGCTTCCGCTACACCCAGGCTCTGGCCCTCTTGAAGCCGCTCAAAAGGCGTCTTTTCTCATCCTCTACTTTCTCTCTCCAGCTTCGCCGCACTTTGCTTCGGTCCTTGGTTCTTTCCAAGTACACGTTTGCAAGCTCCACTCTTCATCTGGGAGCGACGGTTCATCGCAGAACCTGGTGTCGCCTCTACGTGCAGCTTTGGAGCGGCTTGCAAAGGAGGTGTGAGGGTGAAAAACAGGCCCATAGTTTTGCGGTTCTACGTGATGCAGGCGCGACCTCGCCACTGCTAGCCATGGCACAGACCCGCGCTTCTTTCTTTCTACGGGTCCTTCAGGTTGGGCCGGCCACACTCCTGCATTTCCTCCACGCTCATTGGCGCGCATCCCCGACGCGCTCATGGCTACATCAGTTTCTGCTTGATATTCAAGCTGTTTCAGTCTTTGTCCCGCCTGCGGGTGTCCTCCTGGATTCCGCCTGTCCGGTCACTGCTGTGATCGAGAGCCTCCAGCAGGATCCGACGTGGTGGGTCCGACAGATTCGAAAAGCAATTCTGGCCTATAGCCGTGATCTGGATCGGTGGGCCACTCAGCCTTCTCGGCCGGTGTCGGATGATGGCGATGTGCCTGCAACTCCTGCGTCCCTCCCTTACCGTTGTTCGCTCTGCCCGGCGGCGTTTCCACTCAGGAAACATCTGGCCGTGCATCTCTCCCGCAAACACGGACTTTTGAGTCCGGTTCGTCATTTTACGTCAGCTCCCTACTGCCAATCCTGCATGCGCTGGTATCACACCATACCACGCGCACAAAATCACCTCAAACACTCGCTTGGTTGCTTGATGAGGTTGGTTCATGTCATGCGTCCGTTGGGCTTAGATGACATACGCAGTATTGAGAAAGAGGAGAATGACAGACGTAAGCGGGTCAAACATGGTAAATGGGATAGTGTGACAGCTGCAGTGCCTCCGCTACCAATGTTCGGGCCTAGACTCCCGATCTATGCCGAAGCTGTGTCAGGCTTGGACGAGGGCGATTTACTGCTCTCACGGATTAGCCAGCTCTATAGACCACATCCAGCGGATGTGTCGTGGCCTCACATGAAGGGCAGCGAGCCCTGTCTGTGGACTTCTGGCTTCGCAAACCCTCTTCCTTTTCTCGGGGTGGTTGAGGGTCTCTGCCGTTTCACCGTTTTCGTTAGTTGCAAATTTTGGGTCGCGCCCAAATGGGCTCTACGGGCCGAACCAGAACCAGATACTCTTCCTAAGGGCTTCTTATCAAAGTTATACCTCACAGGAGCCCAAAACCCCATTCTAATTTATTAATCAGGCCGCTATATTATATTTTTGAACAAATATGTGTCGCTCACATAAACCCTCATAGGACCCTACTGGTACAAAAAAGTGGGTTCTGGTAGGGTAATAACGTAGGGCTTAGCATAGCAGCAAATTTCCTTAGACCTCCAATACCCAGCCTTTAAACTTTTTGGCCTCTTATAGTTTAGTAGGAACCGGAAAGTTTAACATTTCATTTCTGTGGCTTATTGGGTAAGTTCATCTTTGTCGCTCTGAGGCTGTTTGTTGCGGGAGGTGGGGGCATTCAGCACTCCGGCGGCAGCAGCAGATCTTTCTGTTTCGATTTAGGGGTTAGGCTTTAGGGCTTAGGGTATAGGGTTTGGTTTTGGAATGAAGGATTAGGGGTTTCTAGCAGAGGTCTCTAACGGTTTATGCTTGTCTAACTGAGTGTTAATACCTTTGATCCAGGACCGTACCGTATACTATACCCTAAATCCTAAACCCTAAACCCTCAACCCTGAACCCTAAACCCTACCCGATAAAGCAAGCGCATGTCTTACTTTTGAGCATGTGGGAGTTCCCCAGACCTTCCAAAATCCCTTAATCAAGGAATATACCTTAATTCATATTTGGGATCCTATTATAATTTAAGGTATATTCCTTAATTAAGGAATTTTGGAAGGTCTGGGTCCTTCCGGAGCTCTTGACCCTGCATCGTCGAAGCCCAGGGACCTCATAAGGTTTAACCGCAAGCATTCGGGATTGGTTGGGTTTAGGGGTTTAGGGGTTTAGGGGTTTAGGGGTTTAGGGGTTTAGGGGTTTAGGGGTTTAGGGGTTTAGGGGTTTAGGGGTTTAGGGGTTTAGGGGTTTAGGGTTTAGGGGTTTACGGGTTGAGGGGTTTAGGGTTTAGGGGTGTAGGGTTTACGGGTTTAGGGGCTTAGGGTTTGGGGCTATAAGGTCATGGAAGCTCCCTAGACCCCAATGCCTTAGGGCCTCGACTTTGCTGTTACGGCTTCTTTAGACCCTGAACCCTCGCCGCCCTTAACCCATGCACACTTAAAGCCTTCCCAAAACGCTTGAAAGGACCCTATAAGAAGCCAAGGTCAGGGTCAGTTGGAATACGGTTTGGGGTAGATTATACTATAATTGCAAAAAGCAACCCCCCCAAAACCCGATTCTAATTATTCAGGCCCCTACATTACAAAAGCCCAAGGTCAGGGTCCGTTCAGCTTCCCATCTGGTTTGCAGCACTTTTGAGCCTCTGCGCTGGCATCGGCTGCTGCGGCTCCGCGGCCTGTGGAATCTTCCTGGCCTGGCGGTGCCCACGGTGCCCCGGGGTTAGGATTTAGGGTTCAGGATTTACGGTTTAGGGTTTAGGAGGTATTTACAGTTGGTACAGGGGTCTTATAGGGGGTTTCAATAGGGTTTTCTTGTACCGCCTTTTTGAAGGGGTTGACACAGGGGGCATTATGCAGTTTCATCCAGGGTTTTCACGTGATGAGCTTGAACTGGGCTCTTTCTTTGCTTGCAAAACTGGGGATTTAAAACGGGTGCCCCTTTTTCATAGACTAAGGGGCTGCTGAGAGCCTATATAGTCTGAAATTTACCACCAGCTGCATCCCTGTAAAGCCTTTACAATGCCCTAGAGGTTCCTTCGCAAGAATAAATTATATGAGATGATATCATATTATACTATTTTATATCACATCAAAGGTATCATACTAAATTTTATAAGATGATATCATATTATTATTATACTGTATTATACTATATGACAGATATCATACCATGTTTTATTTTCTAGAGCCCAGGTACATGAAGCGGGTGGAGCCGGATGAGCCCCCTGCACTTTTCTTTCCCCAGGAGTGTGAGCGTGTGCCGACCGAGAGGTCGGTTGGGAGCCTGTTCCAACGACCGCGTTCCTAGGCCTTTGGTGAAAGTAATAGAGGGGCCTTAGTAATTATAGTAGGGTCCCTTAGGGTTCCTTTAAAGGGGTCTATAAGGGCTACTATACGGGCTATCATAAAGACAATTAATCGAGGGGCCTTAATGATTACCTATAACATTTTGGTGGCTCCTTATTTTAATTTTGGTACAATGCCAAAACCCTGTTCGAATTATTAAGGCCCCTATACTAATCGCTCCAGTTGCAGTAGATCAGTACGCTACCTTCTTACGAAAGAGCGAAACTAGTAAGTCAGAGTATACTATATTGTATTCTTAGGTATTCTTTCCAAAGCGAGAGCACGGCTTACAAGCTCTTTGAGATTAGAGTCCTAGGTTCTCTTCTGCTGCGTAAGGGTACTCTTCTCGAGAAGGAATAAGAAACCAGTGTATTGGAGGACAGGGATGATGATAATCCATCTGAAATAAGGAGCTAAAGAGCCAAAGGAACCCCAAAACCACAGGTTTTATAAGAAACCCTAATTCTCAAAAAAGGGACTCGAAGAGCGCTGAGGCTTCCTCAGCCTGCCTGTTCACAGCTGCTGGCCACTCGAAGGATCTTGGAAACCATTGCTGCTTGTAGCATCCTAAACCTTAAACCCTAAACCCTAAATAAACCCCCCTAAACCCTAAACCCTAAACCCTAAATCAACAAAAAGAACCGTAAATAAACCTTAAATCATCCTAGACCTTAAACCCTGAAACCTAGGAAACCTAGGACCTCTAGCATCCTAAGCCTTAAACCCCAAAACCCAGGACCCTAAACCCTACACCTAGATGGCTGAGCCATAATTTAGAAACCTGATTAAGACACCCCGGGCCTATAACCCTCGTAAAGGCCCAAGGTTTCTTAATCAGGTTCCGACATTATCTATGCGAGATATTTGGGATTTGTAGTTTTGGGTGAATTAAGGGTTTCTTTAAGGGTTTAGGGCTCCTTCACCTAAATCGCGGAGCCATATTATTTACATCATAAAGCCCCAGGCCCGAAATCAGAGTTTTAGAAGCCCATTCTCTTCCGATCCTGCACCGATAAACGCGATATTAGGGCACTGCAATCCGTACACCCGAAATCTTAAGCTGAGCTAAGCCCTAAACGCACCTATAGCCACCCGTAGAGTGCCCTTATACTTACTTTCAGTATCCCGTAGCATCCCTTACAGTACCAGCCCAGGACGGACTTGGTCGACCGATCGAAGTCGCGGAAGTCTTCCGGGGATTTCAGCGACGTCGAGCCCGGTCTACTCCAGCACATCAGCACCATGCAAACCGTGGGCAGCTCCAAAAGTGAAGAGGTGAGAAACCCTAAACCCTAAACCCCTCAACCCCTGAACCTTTCTTGGGTTCGGGGTTTGTGGCTCTCAAGGTTTAGGAGCGTCCAGGGACAATAATGCGACACGTCTTGTACTTGCCTTCTGCCAAAGAAGCTTTTTTTTTCATGGTGTGCCTACTGCCCGCCGTTAGTAACACCGTTTCGGCGACTTACATTTGGCAGATGCGTTTTTCACCCGTTTGTCAAAATTCCATATTAACTTCAGGGCGTCTGCCATTCTTCGCTGTTGTGTTCGGGCCCTTCTTGCTGCACTAGAGTCGATTCCTGATCCGTACCTTCCCACACTTCTGATACGTGATGCCACTCGCATCTGCTTTGTGAGATGACTGACTTTGTGATTGTGATGTGGCTAGTACTGTTGCCGTCTTACTTTGTGAAGACAAGAGCGGCTCAAGATCTGAGTTTGTGAAGGAACTCAGGCATTGTGCTTCCAGTTACGATAAGAAGGAAGCCAGGTGTTTTCTCTGTATTGAGGCTTGCGGTTTCAGGGCCTAGGACGTATGCCTAAGAGTGTAATGCAAAAAGTGAGGCTCCTCAGCAAGAACCCCTAAACGCCAAAACCTCACACCTCGAAGCCCTTAGTTAGTTCCAAACCCCTAAACCCCAACATTCCAAAACCCTAAACCCCTAAACCCTAAGCCCCAAAAGCCTAAACCCGTAAACCCTAAACCCCCAAACCCTAAACCCCTAAACCCAAAACCCCCCCAAACCCTCTAGTTGAAACCTTAACCTAAGGCCTTCAACCCTGAAACCCCATGCCCCGGGCAGGAGTCTGACATGGCCCGGAGGAGCACGATGTTTGTCCAGAGGGATTCGACTGACGTGCCGCCTAGTCTAACTTAAATCAATCTTCAACCCTGGAACTCTTAGGGTTTGAGGGCTTGCGATTGCGGGTGTAGGGTTTAACTTCAGCAGGCAGCGATGATTTGGGTTTATAGGGTCTACATCCTGGAGTTTTTTTGTTGTTGTTTGTGCTCTGTAGGACCACCCGATCCTGAAGCATTCTCTGAACCCTTATAATTATAAAGCCATTGCAGTACCTGTTTAAAAATGCAAACAAAGACTTTATAACACCCTGGTAAAAGCGACTCTAAATCCGATTTTGCGCCCTGACAATCATTTGAGAAAGTCTAAGATCTCTTCAACCCTTGTGATGAACCTCAGAATACCCTGAACCCACTAAAGCCAGCAAGTCCTAGAATCGTCGGACTGTGCAGACAGACCTCTATATTCCTGCAACGCCCCATGACATCCCTATCAAACCCTCCCAAACCGTTAAAACACCCTTAAGGAGGCATGTAAAGCCCTTTAAGCAAGGACCTTACCACAACCCCTACAACACCAGAGGAAGCCCTTAGAAAACCTGTAAAGCTCTCACAGAGGCACTATTTATCTACACTCCAAAACTTCAGAAGCCCTCAAACCCTGTCCGTCCGTCCGTCTTGTCTTGTTTTGATATCTGTATATAGATAGCAGCTCTAGAAGCCCCTAAGCCCTGCACGTCCTAAAAAGCTTACGTGCGTGATGAATTCCATCCCTCAGCCCCCACTTGGATGGTCGGGGGGACTTAGTAAGTAGGTAGTAAGCAGACTTATAAGTACCCTAAAAGGGACCCTAATTGGGGTTATGGTACTTATAAGTCCCTAAAATAACCAGTTACTAAGTGCCCCCGACCCTCCAAGCAGCAAACCCCAAAGCCTACCGGCCCCATGAGCCCTTGAACTCCCCCAAAAAGGGCGCCCTTTAGCTTAAGCCCCAGATCCCCCACAAAAGCATCCTAAGCCCTGAAGGGTGAACTCTAAACCCTTAAACCCTACTTAAAGGCTCATGGGACTTAGTAAGTAGGGTTATAATTAGGGCAACTATACTTATAACCCCAATTAAGGTACTTATAACCTTACTTACTAAGTCCCATGATCCTCCAAGTAGACCCCAAACCTTAAACCCTGGGAGTTAGGATTAGGGGGACCCTTGGGGATATAGACCCTCTCAATAAGGCCCCTTTTAAGAGAGCCAGAAGTAGGGTGCAGAAGGGGTACCCTTTAAGGGGTCTCCCTAATAATACTACCTAAACCCTAAACCCTTAAACCCCAGACCCTAAACCCTAAACCCTTAAACCCCCCAGAAGGCTTAGGCCCCAAAACAGAGCCTGAGGTCAGGGAGCCAGGCCGCAGCCCCACAGCGACCCGGCCGACCTTCGCGAAGCAGGCTTTAGGCATTAGGCTTTCCTGTGGATGCAAAAACCTACCGTTTTAAGGGTCAGACCCACTAATTAAGGGGTCATAACCTACTATTTTGTAGGGCTTGGGGCTACAGGTTGGGCTTTAGAGTTTAGGGCTTAGGGTTTAGGGTTTAGGGCGAGGGGTCTAGGGTCTAGGGTTGAGGGTTTAGGCTTCAGGATTCAGGGTTTGTAAGGGCTTTTGTTTTCTTGTTGGGCGGGAGGTGGAGTGTATATTGGGTTTGGGGCTTAGGGTTTATGTAAGGTTTAGGGTTTACGGCGTTGTGTCTAGGCTTCTCCGACATAATCTTTTCTTTCAAGCTTTTTTTTTTATGTGACCTGCATAGGTGTTTCTATGGTTCTCGGGTCTGGGACGGTTACAGGGAAGCCCGAAGCCCTTCCCAAGCAATCCGAGTTTCATCGGGCTCTTTTCATTGAGATCGTATGAGCTATTCCACGCTTTCCGCGAAATCTTTGAACCAGCGATGGTTCTGTTCTATGATCGACTCCCTAACCCGAAACGCCCTGGTTTAGGGTTTAGGGTTTAGGATTGAGGGTTTAGGGTTTAGGGACCACTTTGTCCAGGCCGCCTAGGAGCGACGGCTCGCCGATGCGGCCACGGTCGGGCACGCTGCTGGATCGCGTCGATCTGAAATGAACGAGGGGTTGCTGAATTCGGGTCGAATCCTGGGGCATCCTCAACCCCAAGCCCCTAAATTCCGAAACCTGACCCAGGCACTAGACTAAAAACGATCAACGCTACGCGAACCTCTGGGGGGGGGTTCTGGCTATTCTGCCCGAGGAAGAAGCCTTGAGCGCGAAATCCAAAGCCGAAGTTTCCATGTCCAAAGCCGTTGTATAGAGCAGGGACCTCCTCCCAGAGGCCCCGAAACCCCGATTTTGTTAAGGAATGTACTGATTCCAGGTCCGAGGAGTGTGATTGTTCAGGTTCAGGGAATATAACTCTTGTTCAGGTTTTAGGAATATACCTCGTTCAGGTTTAATGTAGTGTGGTTTTATTCGTTTGAAGCTGGTGCTGGGGTAGATACTTCGAGGAGATATTCTTACTACCATTGTCCAGACCTCCAGATTACTCAGGGATTACCCTAAACCATACCCCCAAAACCCTGAACCCTAAACCCGAACCTTAAACTCTAAACCGAAAACCCTAAACCCGAAACCGTTGATATTCGAGTTCCTACTGTCATTCAAAAGAACTTCCTTAACGAACGGGCTTCGGAGTCACCGGGTCAACGTGTGGACGTCGGGATCCTCCCCCTGCGAGCATCTGGGACCTAATATTGGGGCCTTAGTAATTAGAATAGGGACATAATATTGGGGCCTTAATAGTCAGAATAGGGTTTTGGGGCCCATTATACTATAATTATGCTGTGGAACCCCTCAAACTAGTATCCGTACTCATTGCGGCCCCCTATATTAGGAGTTCGGCTGGAAGACTTGGGGTTTAATACAGGGGTCTTATTACTTACCAATACTACTTAAAGGATCATGGGACTTAGTAACTCGAGTTATAATTATAGGGTAACTATACTTCTAACCCCAATTAAGGTACTTATAACCTTACGTACTAAGTCCCATGATCCTCCAAGTATTTCGGGGGCCGCTTGTTATATTTGTAGTCGAAAGCCCCAAAACGCTCTTCGCATTGTTAAGGCCCCTATATTAGCCCCGAGCCCTAAACTCTCCAAGCCCCCGCTACTCCGCGGGAGGATCCCGAACCTCCAGTGCTTGACGTTGGGCCCCTGCGCTTTGGTTCAGATCTTGGCCACAAGGTTTGCCACAGTCTTTTTTGCCTAATCCTACATCCTGGACCCTAAACCTGGCGCTTAAAAACAAAATCCTAAACCCTACACCCTAAATTGCCCGGCCCCTCCCACGAACGCCACAAGATGCGATGTGGAGGTTGAGAGTCCCAAAAGAAGGCAGTGGGGTAGCTTTTGTTCGAAGATCGATTCTGCGAGGGGCCTAAATAATTTACCAATGTTGTTCCCCAGGGTTGCCGATTATGGGTATACCAGAACCTACCCCAAAACCCTATTCCCTATTCTATTCACTCAGGCCCCTATATTCGGGACTGTTGGGTTTCAGCATCCTCGTACAGTTTATGGCTATAAAGTAAACGCCAGAAAGTTGGAATATGATTATCCTAAACCCTTTATGGTAAATTATAGGGTATCCTACCCTGAAACCATATTCCAACTTTCTGGAGTTCCCTTTAGGTCTAACATGGGGTTTGTAGAGCACGTTCATAGGGTTTCTGGCTGCTTGCTCGGGATAATGTTGAGCTTACGCCCTAAACCCTAGACCCCTAAACCCTAAACCCTATCCGCCTAAAGGAGCTCCAAAAAAAGGCTTAAACCCTAAACCATGTCTGCACTGATTTTTGGGACTCGGGGTGTTTATAAGCCCCTGCACCTTCTTGGGTGCAGTACAGACATGTCAGACAGAGCTTCCTGCCAGTTGTTTTAAAGAAACGCTGGGAGGAGAGCTCCGTCCTTTTCAGAGAGCCCGGTTTACCCGAAAGGCAGTAACATCCCTGAGATTAACTGTAGCAGGCTCCTGACCTCCTGGAGTTCCGTGTCAGTGATACTTACCAAGAGGCCCCATATATATATATATATATATATATATATATATACATACACTACCATTGTGGAATCAGGCCCCAAGAGACCATCCAAAAACTGGTTTTGGGGGGACCTAATTCCATAGTAGTAGTCTTTATGGACCCTCTAGTATAATATGACTTAAACCCTAAACCCTCATGCCCAAAACCCTGAACCCTTATGCCTTAAGGCCCCTGGATTACTTGAGCAGGGGGTTGGGCTCTCGCGGCCCTTTTCCAGCTTCTAGGGGCATAGCAATTCGGCGCCGTCAGCCGGTCCTCTTCCTGCAAGGGCCCACAGAAAACCCTGAGTTGGGGAATTTTGGGGTTCAGGATGTAGGGTTTAAGGGCTTTCCCTTGTTAATTAAGTATACTTACAGTATATTATGCCCTAAACCCTAAACCCCTGAACGCCATGGGCCTTTTTAACAGGAGTGCTGCCAACAAGTCGCAAGTCAGACGCCCCAAGGCGCTGAAGGTTAATGCCACAGATGTGAAACAGCGGAGTTGAAACTCAGGACGTGAGCGTCTGGTTTGGGTTTAGGGCTTCAGGGTTTGGGGTTTAGTGTAGTCGATATTGTTGTTGTTTAGAGTTCTTCAGTTTCTTGTGATATTTATACGGTTTTATAACAAAAGAATGTATTTCTGAATAACTAACAATACTCTGCATTTTGCAAGGGGTTGATGAAGGTTTGACAAACCAAAAAGTCCAAGGTATCCCCTTGAGAACTTGGCCTATGGAATCCCTTATAGAACTGAACATGTACACTTGTTCCCAGACCCTCGGGAGGATCTGGAAAGTAGATCCCCTAATTTGGGGCCCTATGCCCTTTACTACTAAGGTTTCTTTACAAGAACAACCCCATTAAGGGATCTACTTTTTGGATCCTCCCGGGGGTCTGGGTTGGTGCTTATGGACGCAGGAACTTAGAGAAGGTCCGGACTCTACTGAGAAAGACCTCGTGGAGTTGGGAGGGTTCCCGAAATATTGAAACCTCTGAAGAGAGGAGGCTGAAGACTTACTAGTACTGATCACTATTCCTTAAAGGCTGCGTCATCTAAACATACTATAGATATCAGTATAACCGTTAATACAAGTATTTTTCAGCCTTCAATATCGCGTTACTACGAATATGCCTCCAAAGCTTCATATTACAGCCTTAGCTGGGACAGGCTTTTCCTCTGGTCCTGAGCCACACACGAGATTCTAGGCCTTAACCTGGAAGCCTGCCCTAGGCCCTAACAGCTTCACAGACCCTCAAAGGTAGTTCAGGGTTTAGGGTTTAGGGTTGCATAGACCCTCAAAGGTACCGCAAAGGAGACCGAAACCCCTTTCTTGTGAGACTCCCACGTTGGTCCGTCCTTTTTGGCCCAAGCGTCGTCTGCCACTCGGGCGCGGAACCGCCGACGGGAGGCTCGGGGCTGCTGCTTAAAGGCTCATGGGACTTAGTAACTAGGGTTATAATTAGGGCAACTATACTTATAACCTCAATTAAGGTACTTATAACCTTACTTACTAAGTCCCATGATCCCCAAGTGCGCAGGGTTCGGTATGTGCGTGTGCACATTTGTACGTCTGTCTGTGTCTGTCTGTGCCTGCCTTCCTGCCTGCCTGCCTGTCCCTCTGTCAGTCAGTCTGTCGGTATGTTTGTACGTCGAACGTATGAAAATATGTTTGGTATATTACATGTTTTTCTCCCTTTCTCTCTCTCTCTCTCTATCTACATCTGCTTTATATATATATATATATATGTATATATCTCTCTCTCTCTCTCTCTCTCTCTTCCCTTCTTTCTTTCCCTGCGTAGTTGGAGGGAAGTTCCACCGCCATTCTGTCCGGCATATGAGTGAAAGACATGGCTCTGTGCTCTCATATAGGCCGGTCCTGGCTACTTTCCACACGGTGGAACAGTAGAATGGGCTCGGGGCTGGCAGGGTTCCCAGAGCCGATCCGAAAGTCGAGCATGCCGCTGCTGCTGTCATCATCGTTGTCGTCATCCGTACTTGGAGGATCATGGGACTTAGTAAGTAAGGTTATGAGTACCTTAATTGGGGTTATAAGTACAGTTACCCTAATTATAACCCTAGCTACTACGTCCCATGATCCTTTAAGTAGTCTTGGCACCCAAGAACCGTAAAGCCCTAGTGCCGCACACCCCCTGAACCCCAAGACCCTTGGCCCAAACAGGCCCTAAGCCTCTGAACCCTTGTGCCCGGAAGAGGGGCCCGACATGGCGGCGATTCATCCACTGCCGCGTTCGGTGGCCGCGGTGGGCGGTCCCAGACGGCAGTTCAGGCTTGGGGTTTACGGTCCACGGTTTACGTACTTGGAGGATCATGGGACTTAGTAAGTAAGGCTATAAGTACCTTAATTGGGGTTATAAGTATAGTTACCCTAATTATAACCCTAGTTACTAAGTCCGGTGATCCTTTAAGAAGTCCCCAGAAAGCGAGACTAAAACACACCGCAAAGCCCTATTCTAATTGTTCTACTTGACCAGGCCTCTATACTAGGTGCCCTTGTACTTACAGGCTCATGGGACTCAGTAACTAGGGTAATAATTAGGGTAACTATACTTATAATCCCAATTAAAGTACTTATAACCTTACTTACTAAGTCCCATGATCCTCCAAGTACGAGGAATCCTGCTACAAGCGAAAACACCAAGGCCTAAGCCCAACAGCTCTGATTGAAATAACCTGCAGCCCTAAATCCTAAACCCTTAACTCTAAATCCTAAACCCTAAACTCTGAATCCTAAACCCAAAATCCTAAACCCTGAATCCTAAACCCAAAATCCTAAACCCTAAACCCTAAGCCCTAGGTTCTGAAAGTCCTTCAGCCGAAGCGTTGCCTCGGCTTTACGCGGCGGACCCCTGGAGCCTAATCCGATGACAGGCGTCGTAATATGGGCGTGTATATCTCTAAAAGCCTTAAAACTTTAAAACCTCTCTAAACCCTAAACCCTAGAAGCCTTACATTATAAACTGTTAGAACCTTAAAAGCCCTAAACCTTAAACCCACAGCCGTTA